CAATGACAGAAAGAAAGGAGACTAAAAGATATTAAAATGAACAGAGTATCGAGTGGGACTAAAATAAAGGAATATGGCCCTATGATTACTAAAGAATAGAATTCATAATTATAAAACTCTCCCCCCCCAAAAAAATCTCCTGGCCCAGATGGTTTTATTGGATAAGTCTACCAAATGTTTAAATAAATAAGATTTAACATCAGCTCTACACAATACCTTTCAGAAACAAAAAAAAAAAAAAAGAGGAAGAACACTTCCCAATTTATTTTTATAAATCTGGCACTACTTTGATATCAAAAAATAGATAAATGCAGCACATAAAAGAAAATAGAAGAAAATATCTCCCATGAATGTAGATGCAAAAACTCTTAGCAAAATATTAGCAAATAGAATTCCACAATATATAAAAAATAATTATATAGCAAAAATGAAAGAATGGTTCTATATTCAAAAATCAATGAATGTAATTCACCATGTTAAGACATTAAAGAAGAAAAATCACATAATCCCAATGCAAGAAAGTAGAATAGTGGTTGCCAGGAGTTAGGGGGATGGGGAAATTAGGTGTTATTGTTCAATGGGTATAACATTTCATTCACACCACATGAAAAAAGTTCTAGAGATCTACTGTACAATGTGCATATAGTTAATAATACTGTATACTTTAAAACTGGTAGGAGAGTAGACTTCATATTATGTGTTGCTTACCACAATAAAAAAGGTTAATTGTGACTACTAAGTTTTTTTACTTTCAAGTCTTTATCACAATAAAAAAGTGTTTCTCAATTAAAAAGCACTCTTTTGACGATGAACAAAAAGTAATGTCAATATAATTGGGCACTAAAGCCCAGTTGAGGTGGATAAACACAAGTGTGGGGAAAAAGTCAAAAGTAAATGCAAGAATGAATGTTGGTCAATCATGGACCTTGGTTAGCACAAAAGAAACAGAAATTTAAATACATCATTTAAAATACTGTACATAGTTCTCTACTATGTAGGAAAGGTAATATATGGACATCAAAAAAATTTAAATATGTATATTGTTAATCGAACTCTTGTTGACAATGTGACTCAAATCATGTAAATTTTAGTGCTTTTTTTTTTAGTATAAATTAACCGTTTAATTTTAAGTTGACATTAAAAGTTAAAGTATGAAAAATACAACATAAGGGAATAAATGCTTTTAAAGACAATCTACAGAAAGTTGCAATGCCTGTTTTTGAAACAGGTTTTCCACAAATATATACCGAATCACCCAGATTAAGCTTCATTTCCATGTGTTCGCACAGTAAAGTGTGCTTACTGCAATCACAATACTTACTATATTATGTAAAAATAATAATCTACATTTCTCTGCTGTCTCTTGCTGTAGTTTGTCAGTTCCATGGAGACAGACTAGGAAAATGTCATTTTTATCATGACATTTGTGATAAATAGATGAACAAACGTTGAAGATCATTAAAGAGGATTAGTGGAAAAGGATATTCTTTTATAGTACATTCTTCATATGTACCATAAAGAGAATTAAGAGCTGGGAATTTATGAGAGCAATGAGTTATAAAGAATAAGCAAAGTTGTTTCATTTAGAAATGTATATATGAAAGGCAAAAATGGATTACGAATGAATAACCAGAAACCTAATTATTTATATCTTAAAAGAGAAGTGAAAAAAAGGGAAAGAATCCATTTAAAAATCTTAAGGATATAAAGGGGCAATTCATAAAAGTACTATGAATGAATGAGAAATATATGACAAGATATTTGATCCCAATAAGAATCAGAGAAATGCAAAATAAAATAGTAAGATAACATTTTTTTGCCTTGCATAATTTGCTTTGTGAAAAAAATGGTGTCACTAAAATTGGTGTTGAAAGTGGGAAACTTCATAACATGGTGATAGTAGCAGAAATTTTTACATTTATTTAAGATAGTTTAGCTGTATCTAAATTTAAAATTCAATACTCTCATCTCTGGAATTCCATCTGAAAGATATTTCACGCAATCTCACAAAGATATACACCCAAGATTACTATTTACACATTTTTATACACAAAGAACAAAGTCTTTAATAGGAGATTTAGTAAATAAATAACAATATGGGCATATCATATGCCATGTAGCTATGTAATGATTACAAAAGAATTTAGTAGAATTATACATGCATGTTCGGAAGATAATCAATGATATTTTACAAATTAAATATAAAGATTCCAAAAATATGCATAGTATGACTGACTCCATTTGTTAGATATACGCATATATCTATGTTTGCCCAGAAATGGCCTAGAATATAAACACTAAGCTAATAAGAGTGACTAACCCGTGAAACATAAGTAAATAAGGGGAAATTTTGTAATACTTTTAAAAACTCTATTTCTAGTTATTTTGTATGTGAAAATTATAAACCTGTTGGAGAAATGTACTTTATTATTAAGAATAATATGATGTTTATCAAACTTAGATATCATCAAAAATAAAAATAACATGGCACATAAAATTTCCCAATAAGAAAGCTTAAAAATAGGTGCAATTTCTAATTTGCCCCTAAATTAAAAAAAAAAAAAGAAAAAGAAAAAAGAAGTAGAAGAAGAAGAAGAATTGAAATGTGTGAATCAACAGGCTCTTGAGGAATTAGTGGACAAAGCTGAGCATGTTATTTTAGGACATATGTCCTTTTTCTAAGACTATCAGGGTTATGGGGCTTGAGAATATATAAAACAGCCCATAGATCAATTTCTAGCTGAAAGGATTCATGCTTGCATTTAGTTATGAACTTCAAATTGGAAGCTGTTCAGGCAGAAAACTAATAGAAATGGGTGATAGCTAATTAACCTAAGGCTTCAAAGTAATTGCTCTGCAAGAAGCAATTTAAAAGGAACCTTTTTTTTTTAATTTTTGAAATCATAAAATGCCCTATTTGACATTTGGTACATGAGCAAAAATATATATGTATACACACAAATGCCGATTTTTAAAAACTTCTATCTTATTTAACTTCTCAGGATTTTTTCACTTTATTTAATTTTTTAATTTTCAAATACAGTTGACATTTAATATTATTTTATTTTAGTTTCAGGTATATAGCACAGTGGTTAAACAATTACATAATTTACAAAGTGATTAGTCTAGTACCCACCACCTAGTACTATACACAGTTATTACAGTATTATCGACTATATTCCCTATGCTGTACTTCACAACTTCATGACTATTTTGTAAATACAAATTTGTACTTCTTTATGACTTTACCTTTTTCACCCAGCCCCCATGCAGCAACCATCAGTTTGTTCTCTGTATCTATAAGTCTGTTTTGTTTGTTCATTTTGTTCTTTAGATACCGCATTATAAGTGAGATCATATAGTATTTGTCCTTCTCTGTTTGACTTATTTCACTTAGTATTATACCTTTCAGGTCCATCCATATTGCCACAAATAGTAAGATTTTTAAAAAAAGCAAAAGAATAACAAGAACTGTGCTTCATATTACATACTGAATTCCCAGGCTTAGGACTTTGCCTTGTAAGGAGATACGTGAAGTAGACTCCTGAAGTTAATATGTCTAGGAGGATAGGATTGTACTGATTAATCCAGTCCCGAGCTGTAGGCCTCACCAAGGGATTCAGCACAGCCAGCTACTCTCTCTGTAACATACAGCTGTTTGATAGAGAAATGACTGTACTAGCGAAAGAAGAGTGATCTAGTGAAGAGAGTGTGGAATGAATAAACATCTGAAATCAGCCTCTGTCTGCCACAATCTACAACTCTGGCTTCCCATCTTCCTTGCAAGTTTCCTCACACTCTTTAAAAATATCCATACCTATACTCATTCCTTCTCAGCCTCCATCTTCTCTGAGAGAGGATCCCCACATTTCCTTCATTTTCTACATATAGTTCTTAAAATACACATGCATTTGGGAGCATGGTGTCCCATATTAGCCAAACTAGCTAATTTTTCTCCTCCAAATTAGCTTGGTATCTCCAATATAAGTCTTAATGGCACTTAAGCTTTATGTATGACTCACAAATGTGGAAATAACATCCAGGTGAGGAATTCTCATCAGAACTTCTGTAACCCTGGCTTCCTACCTCTAAATCCAAGGTTTAATTGCATGTCAACTTGTCTAGATCCATGCTGAGGACTATCTACTCTCACTTCCACATAAATCTTAGGGTTTTATATTACATGATATGTCTACAGACTAACATATTCTTATAAATAAATTAATTCCTCAAGAAACATAGTAAGTTTTTTAGGTATCTCCAAGTGTCAAGCTCTCAATAATTTAGACTTCCTTTAGAACTACTACAGAAGTTTGTAAGTGGCCGCTGATAGTTGCCCAGGATTCAATTTTTGATTATATTTTCTCCCCAACCTTAGGTTTCACTTGGTGTGAATAAATTAGGATTGTGTCCATTTTGGACCAACCACTCTGGTCAGTGGCAGAGTACTTACACTGTTTTTTTTTTTTTTTTTTTTAAGGTCTGAGCCATTTATTCCTCTACTAGAATAAGGGTGAGATAGACTTTCTTAAAGCACATTGGCTCCATGGTAAAGATATGAACACTCAAAAGAGTTACCATGCTTTACTTAGAAAAATTGCAGTTAATTTTTTAAGATTGAAAATGCATACTAAAATCATTAAATTTTCAAGGTTGTTTCTGAGTGTCCAACATTATATTGAAAACTACCTCAGGAAAGAAAGATATCATGTTCTAGGATTATATTTGTCTTTTAGATAATTTAATGGATCATATATGTATACATGTAGAGGATTTCATTTTATCTACTGGTTCTAATGACTAATCACAATATATATGATAAATGACAAGTCTTCTAGTATTTTTCTAGTTGTTTCACCTTTTTAAAAAAATTATGTAGCTCTTTAATTATCATTTACAAAATTATTGTAACATGGGCCTTGGAAAAACAATAATATGTCTCCTGGGTTATTCTTGTTTTATATAATATTAATGTCTCTTTATTTATTTTTTTATTGCAGGATTTATTTATACATGTGGTGGAACTTTAAAAGGACTTAATGGAACTATAGAAAGCCCTGGTTTTCCATATGGATATCCAAATGGCGCAAACTGTACATGGGTAATAATAGCAGAAGAACGAAATAGAATACAAATTGTTTTTCAGTCATTTGCTCTAGAAGAAGAATACGACTACTTATCCTTATATGATGGCCATCCTCATCCTACAAACTTTAGGACAAGGTTAGTATATTTTGAATGGAAGAATGGAGGAAAAGTATTTTATAGGTAAAAGTGTTTATCTTACAAAGAATGCTTAACATTTTGTGGTGATTTATAATATTATTCACCAATTAACTATTATTCATTTGGAAATATACCATCTCATGAACAAATTAGCTCAGTATCTCTGACTTCATATTACTAACATTAATATTATGTTACAAAAAAGTGAAAGTAAATTGAATTGTGACTTCTTTAGAGAGGTTAAAGGTATTATAATTTTTAAAATATTTATCTCAAGGCTTCATTCTTTATGAACATAATGTATGGTAGAGTAAAAAGATACCATGTAATGTGTCTTTCATGGATATGTACCCAATTTTAATATATGACAATATGTAAAAATGCTTAAAAATAAATATTCATATGACAGTAGAATACATTATTTTTAGATGATGTATACAGTTTATAAAATTTAAATATCTGAAAAGTAGATCCTTTCATGTTACTAGCTGGGACACCCAAGTTTCTGTCCACAGAAGAAATTATTTATTTTCAAGTTAGTTGGTAAAAAAGGAATGAAAATTAGCTGGCACCCTATCTGTTATTTCAGTGGTTCTTCAGAATTTCTTTTTGGCAAATAAAATATCTAAACATATAAAATATTTTGCTGCCTTATCAAAAATTCTTTTTAAATGTAGATCAACTCTAATTCGACCAAGTTCAAATTTCAGATCTTGCATATTTCACTTAGTCCTGAATTTTACCAATGTATGTATATTTTTCTTCGAATGTGGTAAACTACTTTTCAAACATCTAGTTCAATATATTCTAAGCAGAAAACCTATAAGAATTAAAGACGCTTTACATACTTGGCTAGGTTTCCAATCATCAGAATGACAGTTAAAAGTTCCTGAATTGTTGTTTCATACTACATGGCTACACAAAGAAAAAGTCACTGAAATGATTACAGGCAATGTTCTTTTTTCCCTTTTTTTTGCGGGGGGGGTGGGGGCTATATATTTATTGCTGAGTATTTCTCATTTCTTCCTTCTTTCACATTGTTTAAGTCTTTCAATATTCATCCATTTCAAAAGTATATAGTATAGCTGACATATCTGACAGTGTTTATTCACCATCATTGCCAATATTATTAAAATCTGGATGTCGTTTGTTAATGATATAGCATTAGGTCAAGATAGGAAACACATAGCACTGTGTGTGTGTGCTTCTGCTTGCCTGTACTAGTGGGTATAGAGTGGGTATGAGTGTTTGCCTTCACCCGTATACATCCAATCAGATTATAGGTTGTAAGAAAAGGGAAGATAATTCTGAAACTGTTCGAGCCAGGTTAAATATATATAT